CCCAACTTTCGATTGCCATCCGAAAATCCACATTCTAAGAGATGACCCAAATTGAACGAAAATACAGTGTAACCATCACGTTTTTTTCGAAAAATGACTTTTTTCCGAAATCGAAAAACCTTCATGGCATTCGATTCTATTGACCTCCGCGGGTAACCCCTCCCAATCCGCCCTCTATCGGGCTTTATTTGGCCGAGATATCGCCATTTAAAGTATTCCAAAAACATGCGTGTGGTTGTGGACACATTGCATACTTTTGTGATGTCCACATAATACGTTTGAACCTATTAGGGTTGCTTTTCTACAGCATACTTTTGGTTCGCCCATAAAAAGAAACCATTCACAATATACTCATGCTGCAATTTTAATAAAAAATTAAAAAGGAAATAACTCAACTAAATTAAGTCCGATTTCGAAGTGATATACCTCTTTCTACTCGTACGGATCCCGACTATAGATTGCCATCCGAAAAAACATTCTAAGAGATGACACAACTTGACCGAAAATACAGTGTAACCATCACGTTTTTTTCGAAAAATGACTTTTTTCCGAAATCGAAAAACGTTGATGGCATTCGATTCTATTGACCTCCGCGGGTAACCCCTCCCAATCTGCCCTCTATCGGGCTTCATTTGGCCGAGATATCACCATTTAAAGTTTTCCAAAAAAATGCGTGTGACTGTGGACATAGAAGTAGAGGAAAGCATTGCATACTTTTGTGATGTCCACATAATACGCTTGAGCCTACTAGGGTTGCTTTTCTACAGCATACTTTTAGTCCGCCCATTAAAATAAACCATTCACAATATACTCATGCTGCAATTTTAATAAAAAATTAAAAAGGAAATAACTCGACTAAATTCAGTCCGATTTCGAAGTGATATACCTCTTTCTACTCGTACGGACCCCAACTTTCGATTGCCATCTGAAAATCCACATTCTAAGAGATGACCCAAATTGACCGAAAATACAGTGTAACCATCACGTTTTTTTCGAAAAATGACTTTTTTCCGAAATCGAAAAACCTTCATGGCATTCGATTCTATTGACCTCCGCGGGTAACCCCTCCCAATCTGCCCTCTATCGGGCTTTATTTGGCCGAGATATCGCCATTTAAAGTTTTCCAAAAACATGCGTGTGGTTGTGGACACAGAAGTAAAGGAAAGCATTGCATACTTTTGTGATGTCCACATAATACGTTTGAGCCTATTAGGGTTGCTTTTCTACAGCATACTTTTGGTCCGCCCATAAAAAGAAACCATTCACAATATACTCATGCTGCAATTTTAATAAAAAATTAAAAAGGAAATAACTCAACTAAATTAAGTCCGATTTCGAAGTGATATACCTCTTTCTACTCGTACGGATCCCGACTATCGATTGCCATCATCACGTTTTTTTCGAAAAATGACTTTTTTCCGAAATCGAAAAACGTTGATGGCATTCGATTCTATTGACCTCCGCGGGTAACCCCTCCCAATCTGCCCTCTATCGGGCTTTATTTGGCCGAGATATCGCCATTTAAAGTTTTCCAAAAACATGCGTGTGGTTGTGGACACAGAAGTTAAGGAAAGCATTGCATACTTTTGTGATGTCCACATAATACGTTTGAGCCTATTAGGGTTGCTTTTCTACAGCATACTTTTGGTCCGCCCATAAAAAGAAACCATTCACAATATACTCATGCTGCAATTTTAATAAAAAATTAAAAAGGAAATAACTCAACTAAATTAAGTCCGATTTCGAAGTGATATACCTCTTTCTACTCGTACGGATCCCGACTATCGATTGCCATCCGAAAATCCACATTCTAAGAGATGACCCAAATTGACCGAAAATACAGTGTAACCATCACGTTTTTTTCGAAAAATGACTTTTTTCCGAAATCGAAAAACCTTCATGGCATTCGATTCTATTGACCTCCGCGGGTAACCCCTCCCAATCTGCCCTCTATCGGGCTTCATTTGGCCGAGATATCACCATTTAAAGTTTTCCAAAAACATGCGTGTGATTGTGGACATAGAAGTAGAGGAAAGCATTGCATACTTTTGTGATGTCCACATAATACGCTTGAGCCTACTAGGGTTGCTTTTCTACAGCATACTTTTGGTCGGACCATAAAAATAAACCATTCACAATATACTCATGCTGAAATTTATTAAAAAAAAATAAAATGGAAATAACTCGACTAAATTCAGTCCGATTTCGAAGTGATATACCTCTTTCTACTCGTACGGATCCCGACTATCGATCGCCATCCGAAAATCCACATTCTAAGAGATGACCCAAATTGACCGAAAATACAGTGTAACCATCACGTTTTTTTCGAAAAATGACTTTTTTCCGAAATCGAAAAACGTTGATGGCATTCGATTCTATTGACCTCCGCGGGTAACCCCTCCCAATCTGCCCTCTATCGGGCTTCATTTGGCCGAGATATCACCATTTAAAGTTTTCCAAAAACATGCGTGTGATTGTGGACATAGAAGTAGAGGAAAGCATTGCATACTTTTGTGATGTCCACATAATACGCTTGAGCCTACTAGGGTTGCTTTTCTACAGCATACTTTTGGTCGGACCATAAAAATAAACCATTCACAATATACTCATGCTGAAATTTATTAAAAATTTAAAAAGGAAATAACTCGGCTAAATTCAGTCAGATTTCGAAGTGATATACCTCTTTCTACTCGTACGGATCCCGACTATCGATCGCCATCCGAAAATCCACATTCTAAGAGATGACCCAAATTGACCGAAAATACAGTGTAACCATCACGTTTTTTTCGAAAAATGACTTTTTTCCGAAATCGAAAAACGTTGATGGCATTCGATTCTATTGACCTCCGCGGGTAACCCCTCCCAATCTGCCCTCTATCGGGCTTCATTTGGCCGAGATATCACCATTTAAAGTTTTCCAAAAACAAGCGTGTGATTGTGGACATAGAAGTAGAGGAAAGCATTGCATACTTTTGTGATGTCCACATAATACGCTTGAGCCTACTAGGGTTGCTTTTCTACAGCATACTTTTGGTCGGACCATAAAAATAAACCATTCACAATATACTCATGCTGAAATTTATTAAAAATTTAAAAAGGAAATAACTCGGCTAAATTCAGTCAGATTTCGAAGTGATATACCTCTTTCTACTCGTACGGACCCCAACTTTCGATTGCCATCCGAAAATCCACATTCTAAGAGATGACCCAAATTGAACGAAAATACAGTGTAACCATCACGTTTTTTTCGAAAAATGACTTTTTTCCGAAATCGAAAAACCTTCATGGCATTCGATTCTATTGACCTCCGCGGGTAACTCCTCCCAATCTGCCCTCTATCGGGCTTCATTTGGCCGAGATATCACCATTTAAAGTTTTCCAAAAACATGCGTGTGATTGTGGACATAGAAGTAGAGGAAAGTATTGCATACTTTTGTGATGTCCACATAATACGCTTGAGCCTACTAGGGTTGCTTTTCTACAGCATAGTTTTGGTCGGACCATAATAATAAACCATTCACAATATACTCATGCTGAAATTTATTAAAAAAAAATAAAATGGAAATAACTCGACTAAATTCAGTCCGATTTCGAAGTGATATACCTCTTTCTACTCGTACGGACCCCAACTTTCGATTGCCATCTGAAAATCCACATTCTAAGAGATGACCCAAATTGACCGAAAATACAGTGTAACCATCACGTTTTTTTCGAAAAATGACTATTTTCCGAAATCGAAAAACGTTGATGGCATTCGATTCTATTGACCTCCGCGGGTAACCCCTCCCAATCTGCCCTCTATCGGGCTTTATTTGGCCGAGATATCGCTATTTAAAGTTTTCCAAAAACATACGTGTGGTTGTGGTCATAGAAGTAAAGGTAAGCTTTAACTCGGCTAAATTCAGTCCGATTTCGTAGTGATATACGTCTTTCTACTCGTACGGATCCCGACTATAGATTGCTATCCGAAAATCCACATCCTAAGAGATGACCCAAATTGACCGAAAATACTCAACGCCATCACCGTCCTCCTCCGGGTCTTGACATAAATATCTCCTACTAAAATTTAGACAATCTCCCCAGTATCACCCCTTAAATCACCCCATTATAACTTATCTTTAAGTTATATGCCCTCTATCGGGCTTTATTTGGCCGAGATATCGCCATTTATGGACCTCCGCGAATGCAACATGAATTTCAACGGCAATTTTAATATCTCGCAGCTCACATAACTCTTTTATTTTTACTTACGCCAAATTGTGTTGGCTTGTTTGCAAATTGTTAAACAATTGTAATATAGTATTTATCTAAGCTACTGAGCTATTTATATTGTGAATTTATGGGCATATAAAATGCACTATAAATCAAATGATGTCTTAAATTGTTAATCAAAATAAAATAAATTTCAATCTAAATAAAGCAAATGCGCAAATCAACCAATTCAATCCAATCCAATCCAATCCGATTTTAGTTGAATCGTTCGTACTAAATAGCTCTCGGCCAAAATGCCAGCAAATATGCATAAATAAATAAATGTAAATCATGTTTGTAGCAAAAACATTGCATTCCAGGCATTGGGCTCAGTATGTTTTCTGTTTTAAACAGAAATATATTTGACTGCTAAAATGCAAATAAATTTGCGACTTAATTAATAATGCTGAAAGATATTAATTTTATTTTGATTTCAATGCCTGGAATGCTTTAAGAATTTGTAATCAAATTTAAAAGTGCTATACAAGTCTTTAAAGTAGATAATTCTAAAAATATAAAATTGTTATTTTTTGCTTTGGATTAATAATAAACTCTTGACATTGTTTCAAAAAATGTTTCAAAAGCCGGAAGATAAACTTAGTATTTAATTCTAAATGCATTTCATGTCTATATTTTAATAACCCAGAATTGCTTTTTCTTTTATATATAAAACTATAAACCTGCTCAAATATTTTTTTCAGACTTAGTATACAACATTTAATCCATGTCTTAACTTGAATGCAAACTGGTATTGAAACTCAAAATTTATTAGCCTTAAAGCCTTTTCAACAGCAGTTTTTTCTTAAGATTTTCGTGATATTCTGTTGCAGAGCTTAATCATAACTTATGTGTATTTATTAAAGTTATGGCCAACACATACTTGCTGCCATATAATTTTCATATTTTCATACATTGTTTAACTTGCAACGCCGCCCACTTCCTGAGCTTCCTTAGCTACTTGCCAGCTGCCCCACCAACCGCACCCTATCCCACTGAGCTCTTCGACAACAATGTGTGTGCAAAACGTAAGTTTGCGTGCCAGGCGCATATAAATTAGCCGCTTATAATATTCTGTTGGCATTTTTCAAATTTCCAGTTAGCAATTTGGCTGTGGGTGAGTGTGTGTGTGTGTGTGTGTGTGTGTGTGTGTGTGTGTGTGCGTGTGTGTCTAGGTGAAAGAGTTCGTACGCCGTAAAGTATGCAGCTTACGTGCTCAAGGTTTTTACCTGTGCACCGCCAGGCACCGCACACATCACGACAAATATTATGAAACAAAAGCAAAAAACAATAATTAACATATTAATAAATTTTAGCATATCTGAGAGGCTATAATTTTGTGTAATTCTAGACGAGCTCAGCTGGGCAACACCTCAAGGAAATTGGCCAAAAAGCAGCAGCACGCTAATTTGTGTTAGGAATTTCATTTTTATGGCGCACTTCAATTAATAATAGCCTAATATAATCACTTCTGCACTCAAAGTAAACCGAATAATAACAGAAAACAGTTGTTATCGCAAAAAGAAAACAAAACACAGTCTTATCAATATTTGCTGCCGTTAACGCCATCGCCTTCAATTACTTTTACTTTCGTGCTGTCTTTAGTTTTCCACTCATTGTGCCATATATGTTTTTTACTCACGAGCACGCCTACAATCAGCATGATGAGGCCAATTAAAAGCAAGCCCAGACCCACGAATTGACCAATCTGGGGCACGCTTAAGCCCAGCTGTAATTGAATGAGACATTTAGTAATGCGCACACTTGAGATAAAACTGAAAATTACCAACCTTAAGCAGGCGGATCAGATCATCACCCAAGTCGGCGTGAAGTTGAACCACAAACAGCGGCGCATAGTGATCATAGGCCACATCCTTCAGGTAGCTAAGGGAGTGAGAGAAGATTAGTATAAATTATACCAATACAGAAGATGAGTTTTAGTAACGAATATTTTGAAGAGCATGTGAAAAATAGAGAGAATTAGCATAAATAGTATATAATATGTAATATATGTTTGTAGCTTGAGTAGATCGTAGAGCATAACTCACTCGATGGCCTCATCGCGCTGCACAAGTACACTGATCATAACTTGTCCCTTCAGGCTTAGCGGTATGCCTAGTGTCGGCTCCATTACCACATACATGCCATGCTCCAATGGATTCGGCCGCAAGCCCGTCGTATTTCTCCTATAGGACTCATCTGTCATGTAGAAGTGCAGATGCGACATGTAAATGGGACCATGATAGGCGGCTGGTGAGAAATCTAGCACACCATTCAGCGGACATTCCTTTTTGGCAACACAAAAACATTTCGTATCCGGCGCCAGTTGGCCGTTGTCGAAGCTCAGTTCGCTGGTCTCGTAGCGCCAGGCATCGATGCCCTGCACAGTGACATTCGCCATGCTGTACAGATTTATGTATCTCGATGCATCTGACAAAAATATGGAAATTGTCTCGTGCCACCGACGACCCGGCGCCCACAGCTCGCCCGTGCTGCCATTGACCTTGCCACACTCGCCCTCATAGTAGCCGGTATGTGCGGTGCCATTCCATAGCTGCAGCTCGCCCATCCGATTGAGATCCCCGTGGCCCGTGTGTATGGTGAAATTACCCTCGGCCGTCTCAGAGTTGTTGCGCATATAGAACCAGCCGAAATGGTCACTGTACAGTGGCAACAGCGGCGAATGCAGACGCTCCACAAAGTCAATGAGCTCATGGTAGAAACCATCGAATAGCCACTGTCCAGCCGTGTAGCTCATGTAGGTGCCACCTCCCTCACGATTCAGCGCAAAGTTCATAATCTTGCGCAGCGGGCGACGATATTTGCGCACATAGCGGGCGGCCGTCTGCGATTCGGGATTAATATAAGTCAAAATGCAGACAAAAAATACTCTAGCAAAAATTTGCATAACAGAGAGAAGGACAAAACTCAGTAATAAAAACAAATTGAAAACTTTGAGCGTAAATAAAAACTTTAAAAAATATTTAAGCGCGGATTGAAGCTGCGAAAGTTATTTATCTGTGTGTATGAGAACATATATATCAAATATGATGGTTCTAGCTGTTTATCGATTTAATGTGTTGTTATTAGTTAGGATTCACTATAGCTGATAATAGCTGATAATATATTTATATCTCAGTGTTTTTACTCACCAGTGTTGGAAAATGTGGAGTAACAATGACGTCGTCCAGACTACCCTTGGATTTCTCTGGCACAAAGTGCCAAACTCTTCGTCCGTAATAGGTTACCTCCGGCTGTTGCCACATAAGATGCACATTTTCCTTGTAATCACTGAACGTATAAGGTCCCAGCTGCTCAAAACTCGGTTTCACTTTATCATTATTTAAATCCTCCGGATTGGTCCAATTGAAGAGATAGAAGGTGCTATAGACCGGTGTCGGTGTGGTCACCCAGCGTTTGTATATAAACGAATTTGGCGCCAGGGGCAGTATGTTACGGATCCATTGCCGCGACAGACTGGGCCAGGCTGAAAGCAGCACAGTGCCTAGTATGAGTAGAAAACTGCCTAGGCCAAAGACCCAGATCTTTTGTTGGCGGACACTGCAGCAGCTGCAGCACATTTTGCGACTGCTGAATAAACTCAAGAGTTTCCAATGTTTATAGAAGGCAGCGAATCAAATGCTCCGATTAGATTAAAAGGTATGTATATGAATTCTTTAAATAGGATTCTTTGAATGTTGTTTTTAATATGCAAATCTGATTGATTGATTAGATTGCTTTAATGTGATAATTATAGTGATTACTTAAGAGCAGCTAACTAAGAGTGCAGCAAAAATAAAATCTATTAATTCATAAAGTTAGGTGTGTTTTGAGCACGATAAGTGCCACCAGATTAGCGACAAATTTCACTATATATATTTGACTTTTACGTAATTTGACATTTAGCAGTTGCATATTTTTTGGCAGCTTTAATTAAAATTTAGTGCTCTTTAGAAATATCAAAAATATGTCGCAGTTTTTTTGCGAATTAATAACGAACCTTATTATTTACAGTTCCTTTAGATATTAGATGTTTATAAAACGGCGTAAAGTCGCCAGTGTTTTAACAATGGAAAACCTGAATATTTTTACATATATGACATTATTCTTATAAATCCCAATAAAAACTGAAGCATTCTGGAACTTACTTGCTCAGAACTATCGGCTCCAAATATAAGTTAAGTAAAAGTATTATAAAGTGATATAAATACATTTTTTTTTTTTCAAATCACGCTTATTTTATAAATTTAGAAAATTAATAATATGAATCACAATCCAAAAATCACTTTTTGTTAAATTTTAAAATTTGTATATCGAACAGATATTAGAGTGCATCAGCTTTTTTAGCGCGAAGCATTATTTTGGAACTGTTTCTGGGTCAGTTGAGTTGTTTGTGTCTGCACTGATAAGTGCCGCCCTATCAGCTGCCGCCTGTCCATACCACTTGCGTTTGAGAGTGAGGAAAATTCCTACAGCCAAAAGGATGCAGCCCAAGCATAGAAAGCCAATGCCCGTATAGCGTCCAATTGCGGGTAGACTTAATACCAGCTATAAAGAAATGTCATGAATAGACTGCAACTGGCAATGGATATATATATATATATAGTAGTTGCCTTCAACTCGGAAGCGAGTTCCTTGTTAATAATTGCAGAGCTGCCGGTTGTGAAGAGTGGCGCATAGAAGGTTGGTATGTCTTTTATAATGCTGTGCATTAGAGGACGTTGTTAATATGTTTTCCTGACTAAACTGAACCATCATGGACTTACTCGATGTCCGCGTCTGCTTCCATATACAATGAGACCATGATGGCTGCATTCACCTGAAGCGGTACTCCAAGTTTGCGTTCCATTATGATGAAGAAATTGTCGCGTTCATAGTTTGGGTCAAGGCCAGTTATGGTGTTAGCATAACTCTCATCGGCATACATGAAATGAGAGGCTGATAGATACATGGGAGCACCATCGGAACAGGGACCCAAGCTTGTGGCGCCCGAAGCTGGACAATTATCGGGCTGTTTGTCAACCGGACAGTAGCATTTCATATCCGCTTGCCGTTGTCCATTGTCGAAGGTGTTTGGCGTCACCTCGTATTTCCAGCCCTGAATGCCCTCAATCTCATGGCTTTGGCCCGTGAACTCCAAATTGATAATGCGGCAGGTATCAGCTATGAATATGGTGAGTGCCTTCTCCTTTGGTTCGTCGGGAACAAAGAGATCTGTGGTGCTGCCATTGAGACGACCGCATTCGCCCTCATACCAACCAGTATGATTTTCACCATTCCAGAATTTAATTTCGCCCATTTCTTTGATATCACCTACGCCCGTGTGCACCGTGAAGGCGCCCTCAAAGTCTTTGGAACCGTTTCGATTTAGAAACCAAGCAAACTGATCCGTTTCAATTGGCGGCGCCAGAGGATTGTTCAAAGTCATTGCATAATGCAGAAATTCATCATAGAAACCATCGAAGAGCCACTCGCTGGCCGTGTGGGTGGCATAGAGTAAACCACCATTTTCATTGAGCGCTTTGTTAAAAAAAAACTTAATCAGTGAGGGACTGTCACGCATCATAGCCGCTGCGGCCTAAAAAAAAAAAAAAAAAAACAAACAAAATCAATAGAAATTAACATTGTACTTTCAGCATATTTAATATTTCTCACAATCGATGGTAGATGTGGCACCGTCACCAAGTCCGTTTGCTTGCCACCGGAGAGTTCCTCCTCCCAGAACCAGGTGCGATTAGGCTTGAAGGTCACCGTATTATTCTCGTGCCACTCCACATCCATTTTTACGCGCTCCTCTCTATAGACATAGGGACCCAATTGCTGGAAATTCGGTTTAACGCCATGCAGCTTAACCTCCTCCGCGTTCGTCCAATTCCACAGATACATATTCATATAAACGGGAATGGGCAAATCCGCCCATTTCTCATAGGTTCTCGATGTGGGCGTCAGCGGCAAGGCCTATAAGTAATCGAGACTATTAGCATAGCTTAATCTATCTTGATTTCTTGGCATCCACTTGCCTTCATTATGATACTATCTATGAGAGTGGGCCACCATATTACAGCTAGGAGACCGAACACTGTGAACAGTGATCCAAGGCCAAAAACCCAGACCTTTTGTTGGGTCACACCACAGCACCGACAGCACATTCCGACCACGTTTATATTCGGAATGCCTTCACCGAGTCCTATCGCTGGTTAACTAACCCATTAAAACCTAATCGCAGCTGTTTTATTCTTTCCATATGCGATAATCATACCTTAATCATAATCTTTTCCAATTGTTTTGTTTTCTTTTCATTGATTATTCATTTTTAATTGTTGCTCAAGTTTATGGACTTATTGGACGTCCAGATGTATGCACAATGCACTTAAACCAATTTCAACAAGGCCATTGGGTTTTCACGGTTACCTTTTCTTTTATCAGTCTACTGAATTTAGATTAAGAAACGCTGCCAACGACCTGGTAACAGGTGCGGCGTTTTAATCATGATTATGGGCATTTTTAGCAAACGATATCGTTAATAAGTAGCAAAAAGAAAAAGCTTTCTTTTTGCTTATAGTTGTGAATATAGGTATATTTTAACATAAATATCAATGAAGATTGTGTTTAGCTAATTAAAAAGTTAAATCGTGGAGCCATCAGCGCCGTCAGATAGCAATATGTCTTTCTGCAACCAGTTGATAACAACAGGTGCTTAATCAGAAAAGTGCGCGAGGCATAACTATTTTCGTGTTACACCTCGTCAACTTATCGCTAAATCAAGTACAAATAACCTAATCTAATCAGATACATTTTTTTATTGGCTGTAAATGCTATGCACTATACATTGTCTAAACAGCCTCATACCGAAACTGTTTAATTGAAGTAGCACTAAAAATTATGATGGTTATGGCATAATTGATCAATATTCAATTTCAACTAAATGATAGCCACATTGATGCAGTACATCAAATGCATTGTGTACTTTAGTATGCATTAATGTTGGTCCTCTACGAAATTATGTTTCGGGGCTGACATTAATTGAAATACACTTAGCCGCAAAAGTAAACGTTGCGATTAGCATGCAGCATATGCAGAATTTATACTCTGGCCATAATGATTCCGTATGCGGCATTTGCTTGCCACAATGCACTTGAATAAATGCATAATCTTAAGCATCTCGGATGCTGAGATACCAACCCTTGTGGCATCTGTGGCGGCATAATGCATAATCCAGCCGTCGTATCTATGTGAGTGTGTGTGTGTGTGTGGTTTCGTGTTTACTGCAATAATGAAAACTGTAGTTTGGCTTAGATGGAAGAAATAATTGCACTAGTGTACACAATAACGAGATATGCTGCGATGCAATTAACACTTTAGAAAAAAGTAGAACAGGTAAGGTAATTTAGCCGAGATATTCCAAAAGACCATCAAAAGAATCGGTTTTTGGTCAACAACTCTTTTTTGAATGTCAATTGATAGTAGGCATTTCAAAAAGTTTTAACTTTTAAAAATTTGACGATTTTTAAGCGATATATTAAAAAATATTGATCAATAAAGATGTGATTTTCGAGTGTGACCCTGATTTTGGCAAAAAACGTGATATTACACCCTTTGCTTTTTGGTCGATTTTGGTCAAAATTTAGATTTTCTATTTTTTGATGCCCGTCGATAGTACTGATCCTTACGAGTCCAAAATGGCATAAAATTAAAAAATCGGACATTATTTGGCTGAGATATTCCAAAAAATCATTAAAAAGTTTGACTTTACAATCGACATGTTTTTTGGATAACAATTTTGTTAAACCCATCGATTTTTAATTAATTTGAATGTCAATTGATTGTAGGGATCTGTACGAATTCAAAAAGGTGTAATATTTCTGAATCAGACGTTATTTAGCCGAGTTATTCTAACAAGATCATCAAAAAAGTTTTGATATTCGACCTGACCCTGATTTTGAGGAAAAACGTGCCGATTTGTGTCAAAATTTAGATTTTCATTTTTTCTGAGCCAATCGATAGTATAATTTTACTGTTTTATATTATCAGCTGCTTAGGATCGAAAACGTTTTGGGCTAGTGTTATTAAAGCCATTTGTTTGTCAGGCAATTTTTTTTTATATATTTTTTTAAGAATATTCAATTCAATTATAACATAAAGTATATGTAGCATTTATAGCGTTTATAATACACATACACACATATATTGCGAATGGATTTGTTAAGTAAGAAAAGTTTCGACGACTGCAGTTCAGAACATTTCAGCAACATCAGCTTTGGATTTTCGTTAATATTATATAACACTTTGATTAAACATTTCTATATAAATATATGCACTTTGTATTCGATTAAGTTGAGGTAGCTGCATGTTTAGGCCTCAATGGATGCCTCAGCTTCCAACTGTGCCTTGCGGCTGGGCTGTACATGAAGTCGAGAAAATAAGCTTTAGCAGAATTATATGGACATAGTTAAGAGGCTGGCAATTACCTTAGGGTGCATGAGTATGAAGGGTAGCTCAGCGCACAGCTCGCCGCCCAGAGCGCCCAGAAAGAGCTTTACCTTAACCGCATATGAAACAATAATGCCGAAGGCATCACGAGCATCCTGACTGGCAATGCTGTGAAAGCAAAATTTTAGTTTTGTCAGCTTTATAATAGGCCTGGGAGCGGCTACTCACAGCGTGGTCGAGGCCAGTGCTGTGTCCTTGCGCTTGATATCGCCCTCAACGGCAATGCCAGCCCGATCACAATTGGCCACCAGTGTGGGCACCAGATACATGACCTTTTGTAATCACTGAACGTATAAGGTCCCAGCTGCTCAAAATTCGGTTTCACTTTATCATTATTTAAATCCTCCGGATTGGTCCAATTGAAGAGATAGAAGGTGCTATAGACCGGTGTCGGTGTGGTCACCCAGCGTTTGTATATAAACGAATTTGGCGCCAGGGGCAGTATGTTACGGATCCATTGCCGCGACAGACTGGGCCAGGCTGAAAGCAGCACAGTGCCTAGTATGAGTAGAAAACTGCCTAGGCCAAAGACCCAGATCTTTTGTTGGCGGACACTGCAGCAGCTGCAGCACATTTTGCGACTGCTGAATAAACTCAAGAGTTTCCAATGTTTATAGAAGGCAGCGAATCAAATGCTCCGATTAGATTAAAAGGTATGTATATGAATTCTTTAAATAGGATTCTTTGAATGTTGTTTTTAATATGCAAATCTGATTGATTGATTAGATTGCTTTAATGTGATAATTATAGTGATTACTTAAGAGCAGCTAACTAAGAGTGCAGCAAAAATAAAATCTATTAATTCATAAAGTTAGGTGTGTTTTGAGCACGATAAGTGCCACCAGATTAGCGACAAATTTCACTATATATATTTGACTTTTACGTAATTTGACATTTAGCAGTTGCATATTTTTTGGCAGCTTTAATTAAAATTTAGTGCTCTTTAGAAATATCAAAAATATGTCGCAGTTTTTTTGCGAATTAATAACGAACCTTATTATTTACAGTTCCTTTAGATATTAGATGTTTATAAAACGGCGTAAAGTCGCCAGTGTTTTAACAATGGAAAACCTGAATATTTTTACATATATGACATTATTCTTATAAATCCCAATAAAAACTGAAGCATTCTGGAACTTACTTGCTCAGAACTATCGGCTCCAAATATAAGTTAAGTAAAAGTATTATAAAGTGATATAAATACATTTTTTTTTTTTCAAATCACGCTTATTTTATAAATTTAGAAAATTAATAATATGAATCACAATCCAAAAATCACTTTTTGTTAAATTTTAAAATTTGTATATCGAACAGATATTAGAGTGCATCAGCTTTTTTAGCGCGAAGCATTATTTTGGAACTGTTTCTGGGTCAGTTGAGTTGTTTGTGTCTGCACTGATAAGTGCCGCCCTATCAGCTGCCGCCTGTCCATACCACTTGCGTTTGAGAGTGAGGAAAATTCCTACAGCCAAAAGGATGCAGCCCAAGCATAGAAAGCCAATGCCCGTATAGCGTCCAATTGCGGGTAGACTTAATACCAGCTATAAAGAAATGTCATGAATAGACTGCAACTGGCAATGGATATATATATATATAGTAGTTGCCTTCAACTCGGAAGCGAGTTCCTTGTTAATAATTGCAGAGCTGCCGGTTGTGAAGAGTGGCGCATAGAAGGTTGGTATGTCTTTTATAATGCTGTGCATTAGAGGACGTTGTTAATATGTTTTCCTGACTAAACTGAACCATCATGGACTTACTCGATGTCCGCGTCTGCTTCCATATACAATGAGACCATGATGGCTGCATTCACCTGAAGCGGTACTCCAAGTTTGCGTTCCATTATGATGAAGAAATTGTCGCGTTCATAGTTTGGGTCAAGGCCAGTTATGGTGTTAGCATAACTCTCATCGGCATACATGAAATGAGAGGCTGATAGATACATGGGAGCACCATCGGAACAGGGACCCAAGCTTGTGGCGCCCGAAGCTGGACAATTATCGGGCTGTTTGTCAACCGGACAGTAGCATTTCATATCCGCTTGCCGTTGTCCATTGTCGAAGGTGTTTGGCGTCACCTCGTATTTCCAGCCCTGAATGCCCTCAATCTCATGGCTTTGGCCCGTGAACTCCAAATTGATAATGCGGCAGGTATCAGCTATGAATATGGTGAGTGCCTTCTCCTTTGGTTCGTCGGGAACAAAGAGATCTGTGGTGCTGCCATTGAGACGACCGCATTCGCCCTCATACCAACCAGTATGATTTTCACCATTCCAGAATTTAATTTCGCCCATTTCTTTGATATCACCTACGCCCGTGTGCACCGTGAAGGCGCCCTCAAAGTCTTTGGAACCGTTTCGATTTAGAAACCAAGCAAACTGATCCGTTTCAATTGGCGGCGCCAGAGGATTGTTCAAAGTCATTGCATAATGCAGAAATTCATCATAGAAACCATCGAAGAGCCACTCGCTGGCCGTGTGGGTGGCATAGAGTAAACCACCATTTTCATTGAGCGCTTTGTTAAAAAAAAACTTAATCAGTGAGGGACTGTCACGCATCATAGCCGCTGCGGCCTAAAAAAAAAAAAAAAAAAACAAACAAAATCAATAGAAATTAACATTGTACTTTCAGCATATTTAATATTTCTCACAATCGATGGTAGATGTGGCACCGTCACCAAGTCCGTTTGCTTGCCACCGGAGAGTTCCTCCTCCCAGAACCAGGTGCGATTAGGCTTGAAGGTCACCGTATTATTCTCGTGCCACTCCACATCCATTTTTACGCGCTCCTCTCTATAGACATAGGGACCCAATTGCTGGAAATTCGGTTTAACGCCATGCAGCTTAACCTCCTCCGCGTTCGTCCAATTCCACAGATACATATTCATATAAACGGGAATGGGCAAATCCGCCCATTTCTCATAGGTTCTCGATGTGGGCGTCAGCGGCAAGGCCTATAAGTAATCGAGACTATTAGCATAGCTTAATCTATCTTGATTTCTTGGCATCCACTTGCCTTCATTATGATACTATCTATGAGAGTGGGCCACCATATTACAGCTAGGAGACCGAACACTGTGAACAGTGATCCAAGGCCAAAAACCCAGACCTTTTGTTGGGTCACACCACAGCACCGACAGCACATTCCGACCACGTTTATATTCGGAATGCCTTCACCGAGTCCTATCGCTGGTTAACTAACCCATTAAAACCTAATCGCAGCTGTTTTATTCTTTCCATATGCGATAATCATACCTTAATCATAATCTTTTCCAATTGTTTTGTTTTCTTTTCATTGATTATTCATTTTTAATTGTTGCTCAAGTTTATGGACTTATTGGACGTCCAGATGTATGCACAATGCACTTAAACCAATTTCAACAAGGCCATTGGGTTTTCACGGTTACCTTTTCTTTTATCAGTCTACTGAATTTAGATTAAGAAACGCTGCCAACGACCTGGTAACAGGTGCGGCGTTTTAATCATGATTATGGGCATTTTTAGCAAACGATATCGTTAATAAGTAGCAAAAAGAAAAAGCTTTCTTTTTGCTTATAGTTGTGAATATAGGTATATTTTAACATAAATATCAATGAAGATTGTGTTTAGCTAATTAAAAAGTTAAATCGTGGAGCCATCAGCGCCGTCAGATAGCAATATGTCTTTCTGCAACCAGTTGATAACAACAGGTGCTTAATCAGAAAAGTGCGCGAGGCATAACTATTTTCGTGTTACACCTCGTCAACTTATCGCTAAATCAAGTACAAATAACCTAATCTAATCAGATACATTTTTTTATTGGCTGTAAATGCTATGCACTATACATTGTCTAAACAGCCTCATACCGAAACTGTTTAATTGAAGTAGCACTAAAAATTATGATGGTTATGGCATAATTGATCAATATTCAATTTCAACTAAATGATAGCCACATTGATGCAGTACATCAAATGCATTGTGTACTTTAGTATGCATTAATGTTGGTCCTCTACGAAATTATGTTTCGGGGCTGACATTAATTGAAATACACTTAGCCGCAAAAGTAAACGTTGCGATTAGCATGCAGCATATGCAGAATTTATACTCTGGCCATAATGATTCCGTATGCGGCATTTGCTTGCCACAATGCACTTGAATAAATGCATAATCTTAAGCATCTCGGATGCTGAGATACCAACCCTTGTGGCATCTGTGGCGGCATAATGCATAATCCAGCCGTCGTATCTATGTGAGTGTGTGTGTGTGTGTGGTTTCGTGTTTACTGCAATAATGAAAACTGTAGTTTGGCTTAGATGGAAGAAATAATTGCACTAGTGTACACAATAACGAGATATGCTGCGATGCAATTAACACTTTAGAAAAAAGTAGAACAGGTAAGGTAATTTAGCCGAGATATTCCAAAAGACCATCAAAAGAATCGGTTTTTGGTCAACAACTCTTTTTTGAATGTCAATTGATAGTAGGCATTTCAAAAAGTTTTAACTTTTAAAAATTTGACGATTTTTAAGCGATATATTAAAAAATATTGATCAATAAAGATGTGATTTTCGAGTGTGACCCTGATTTTGGCAAAAAACGTGATATTACACCCTTTGCTTTTTGGTCGATTTTGGTCAAAATTTAGATTTTCTATTTTTTGATGCCCGTCGATAGTACTGATCCTTACGAGTCCAAAATGGCATAAAATTAAAAAATCGGACATTATTTGGCTGAGATATTCCAAAAAATCATTAAAAAGTTTGACTTTACAATCGACATGTTTTTTGGATAACAATTTTGTTAAACCCATCGATTTTTAATTAATTTGAATGTCAATTGATTGTAGGGATCTGTACGAATTCAAAAAGGTGTAATATTTCTGAATCAGACGTTATTTAGCCGAGTTATTCTAACAAGATCATCAAAAAAGTTTTGATATTCGACCTGACCCTGATTTTGAGGAAAAACGTGCCGATTTGTGTCAAAATTTAGATTTTCATTTTTTCTGAGCCAATCGATAGTATAATTTTACTGTTTTATATTATCAGCTGCTTAGGATCGAAAACGTTTTGGGCTAGTGTTATTAAAGCCATTTGTTTGTCAGGCAATTTTTTTTTATATATTTTTTTAAGAATATTCAATTCAATTATAACATAAAGTATATGTAGCATTTATAGCGTTTATAATACACATACACACATATATTGCGAATGGATTTGTTAAGTAAGAAAAGTTTCGACGACTGCAGTTCAGAACATTTCAGCAACATCAGCTTTGGATTTTCGTTAATATTATATAACACTTTGATTAAACATTTCTATATAAATATATGCACTTTGTATTCGATTAAGTTGAGGTAGCTGCATGTTTAGGCCTCAATGGATGCCTCAGCTTCCAACTGTGCCTTGCGGCTGGGCTGTACATGAAGTCGAGAAAATAAGCTTTAGCAGAATTATATGGACATAGTTAAGAGGCTGGCAATTACCTTAGGGTGCATGAGTATGAAGGGTAGCTCAGCGCACAGCTCGCCGCCCAGAGCGCCCAGAAAGAGCTTTACCTTAACCGCATATGAAACAATAATGCCGAAGGCATCACGAGCATCCTGACTGGCAATGCTGTGAAAGCAAAATTTTAGTTTTGTCAGCTTTATAATAGGCCTGGGAGCGGCTACTCACAGCGTGGTCGAGGCCAGTGCTGTGTCCTTGCGCTTGATATCGCCCTCAACGGCAATGCCAGCCCGATCACAATTGGCCACCAGTGTGGGCACCAGATACATGACCTTTTGCAGGCTGGAGCCGGGGTTCAGTGGACAGCCCTCGCTGGTCTCCATATGGGCAATCGTATTGCGGAATTGTCCATTCTGGAAGAGCACCACATCGACGCCCTGCTGCACCATTGCCTTGACCTTCTTCACAACCTTGTTCGAGTTATTGCGCACACATATATTGACCGATATCTTCTCGCCGTGATGATACAGCTGCTTGTCCAGTGTCACCTCCAGCTCCAGCTCTCCGGGCGACAACAGAAAGTCCTTGCGCACCACCGTGCAGGGCTGCATGCCCTGTTTGGTGGGTGCATACTGCACCTTGCGTATGCCCAGGTTAATAGTGTTGCGTCTATGCGAACGATCGCAATCATTCTCGCCCGTAAAGATCTTCACAAAGTATTGCACACCGCAGGGCTGGCTCTCATCGCTCGCCTTCTGCTGCAGCATCACCGAGGCCGGTGAGCTGGTGGGCATTTGCATGACAAACGGGAATGCATTGGAGCCCAGTTTCTTAAGCAGACGCTCCTGCATCTTGGTCAGCTGTATGTCCTGCTTCTGCGGCGGGCACACCTGTTGCGAGACAAGCGTTAGCTCCTTCTGGAAACGCAATCCAATCATTTCATCATCTTCGCGTCCATAGCGAAAGTTGCACACAAGCTGCACGAAGATCTTGCGGTTCTGACGCACGTAGTCATCATCCAGCACAATGATGCCATCTGCAAATGGACGAACGAAATTAATTGAGCCAGATTTAACACAGTTACAATCACGGTCTCGCCTAGACACGTCTTTCGCCCATATTCCACGGTCGGTCAATAAACACGTAACTAATAAGCAGCTTTGCGGCTGTTACGGCTGCTATCCATTGCATAAATTAGGGCTTAATTTAATTAAAGCCCAAGCAGATCAACTGATTATGTTATGAATGTACAAATGGAGTTGGTTATAATTCGGGTCAAAATACATGGTATCTCATGTATACTGTTTATTACGATGTTAGCAAAGTGGAATGGCTGGTAGATAGTATTAGATTTATGAGGTTATAGAAAATGTATAATAGTTCCTTAAACTTTGTTGTAAAATGCTGCTAAATATTCCCAGGCCTAAACAATATATTCCATTATAATACTGAAAAAATTCGATTGTTCTTAGGAATATTGTAATATTCTATTAATCCAAAAGAAATTTAATAATTTCATTAAGTACTCTTTATTTTATACAGTCGCTGTCTGCTGCTTATAATGAAATAATTCAAAATTATTCCAATTTAAAATCCGATTGTTTAAATGTATGCCTCATAACCAATCTCTCACGATAAATGAAAACATTACTGAATAATAATCTATGCGTATTTGGGATCCTAACATGATTAATTGATCTATTCTTCCGATATCCCCATAATTATATACTATTCCCTGATCTTGTAATATTCCAGATCTATGTTGACAATCATTCCACAAATATTCCATTATTTGCATTGCTGATGATCACCTACCGATGGGCTCCACTTGCGTCACCGAATCCACAAACTCACGCCTATTCATATAGAGCGTGATCATGTTGTTCGGCGCACATTTCTTAAAAACTTTGAAGTTAACAACCATTTTGCCGCGGAGTTTTTATCTAATCCAAAAAAAAAAAGAAGTATTACTTTGCCGGTCTAGTTATATGTTGTTGTTAAATATTGCGAACTACGCCGCGTTGCGTTGTTCGTGTCGTTTTCAATTAGCGGCCAGCGACAATCCGTCATTTATACCTGGCATTCTCAGCGTCGCTGCAAATTCAATTAGCTCGCGTTGCTGCATCTTTTCCACAATCTAAACCATTTGCTGGTGCTGCTTTAATATGGCTTCCCGCGCAGGCTTTGGCTTTGATATTGACATTGCTGCTGCCCCGAAAACAATCGATGGCTGGCCACAAAATAATACGCGTACAACACGGCGTATTAGCAATGCAAAAATAGCTAGCTTAACAAAATCAATACATGGCGTGCGTGCAACACTGTTGCCTCCAGTTTTGATTGCGTTTCTTGTTTTATTTTTAGTTTATTTTTCTTTTCGTTTGGTATGGTGCATGACGCATGGAACAGCTATTACATATAGGACCTGTGCCGTAATGCGAACTAATTAAATTGTTAACAAGTGGCAGCTATTTTGCAAAGTTACAATTACAATTTATAAATCTTCAACAAAGCCTTCAGTAGAAATATAATATCCATTAAGTATCCCAATATTCAGTCTATAGTTTTAAAATTCTGTCCTAGAAAATATAACATTTAAGTTTTACTAAAAAAAGTCTCAATAAATTATGAGATATTTCAATTAACCACCACATAAAGGGAATTTAAATTGTAGTTTCTTATGCTTGTTAAATAATTTAATGATTTCATAAATGTGCACAGACACTTTGGCCCACATGAAGTAGAATCTTGAACATGATTTCCCACTGCACTCAATTATGTAAATATGTAAAAATATGCCAGACTTTGGGTAAACTCCTCTTTCCCTTTCTCGCAACTTGTGCGCAACTAAATCACATTAGCATAAAGTTGGCTACTTAGCAAAGTCAATGAACGTAATTATTATGCTCTCTACTGACATTAAAAATATGAACAAAGTTGTGTTGAATATATTGTGCCTTATTGTGTGGTTGTAGTGTGCGTGTGTGTGTGTGTCTCTATATACCGGCACGAAACATTAGCATGTATGGTAGGACAGGGGCCCCAGTCGCCAGGGTCCAACAAAGCCGACAATGAGGCTCTTAATAATAGCAAAACTTTTGCACTTACATTTTGTAGGTTGTGTTAGACATGGGCGTGTCCGAGCGGCCGTTTAAATGCTTTAGTTGCCATATAATTGAACTAAAGTGAGGCGTAGATATTATCGTCTAGCTGTTGTCTATTACCAGCTGATGCAATATGCCATGAAATGCGTAAATACATGCATGAATAATGAGCAAGTGCTTGATTTATAAGAGCTATCTATAAGTATCTGAAAGTACTATTCCGTATATGCTAAGGCGTTTACAATACGGCTTTGGGTAGCACTCAAAATCAATCAAGTTTAAGAGAACCCAGCGCCCACAGACCGCACCCAAGTGCTTTTAGCCGGCACACAAGTCCTGCTTCACAATATTGCAGACACACTCACACACACACACACACGTATATAAATATATATATATGTGTATATACCCACACAGTTAAAGCCACATGCCGTCAACGAAAACCACAAAGCGCTAAGAACAACAAAGCCGACTTCAATTATTTGCGCGCAAATGCTGCCTCCAAGTGTCTTGGTCTGAGCCATCGCCCACTCTCTCCATTATACCGTCAATCCTTTGCGTAGCTCTTCATTTGCGGTCAACTTTTAGTTCTTGTACTAAATGTATTTATTTTGGAGTCTAAGAAATTATGCAGAAGCAAATTAAAGATGAGTTTACTTCGACACTCAGTGAAATTTAAATTCGTACGAGTCTGTAATATAGACCCAATCCGTTATGCTATATATACTGTTTTATATTAGGTACAATAGCAAATCGCTTTTGGCGCGTATGTCAGCAACAGAGACAAACAGGGTCCGTCTCGGTGTATCGCCACAGGCGACTTAATGTTTCAATTTGTTGATGGAATGTCAGCAGGTGAGATTTGCACTGAGAACGCTGCGGGAA